GTTGCCTCTCTTAGGATTTCAGTACTTCTTTTTTCAAACCTTTCCAGGGTTTTACTGTTAGTCAACCCAAAAGAGCCTCAGACCTGCTGAGATTTCTAAGTCTTAGTGATCAGACCAGTTGATAAACAGTCTGGTCTAGGGGTCTGTTCTCATGGGCCGATGCAATTCTGAACTTGTGGTCATTTAGATCAAGACTATTTTGTATAACAAAGTTCTCCTTGTTATTTATATCAGAGGATGCCTGAGCCTTTCAAATTTCCCAAAAACGAGGTATTTAAGTTGTCAGTGCCTGCCCCCTTGTCTGGTCTATTAGTGTAATGAGACCTGTGGTTGAATCTCATTACTTAATTATAATTAGTAGGGCTCCCTAGAAGTTTAATCTTTCTAAAAGATGAGGATTTGAATATGTATAACTCGCTCTCCTCTTTAAAATGCCTCTTATTGTGACAAACTTTGAACTTTCGGGTTATTTTATGTAACTAAAATAGCCTGTCAGTCCTTCCTGTTCTAAGTATATTTCTTTGTCTGGGGAGTGGGAGGATCAAGTCTCTGTGTATTTTCTCCTGATTACACAGAAAGGAGTACACAGCCACACCAATAAACAGACATGTCATTGGATTGGATGTAGTGTGTGAGAAAGAACAGAATAACCATATGGCTATTAACACTGCCTTACATATTAAATCAGCAGCAGTAAATTCAACACATCCCTTTGGTGTTACAACTAGCATTTAGTGAACTTTATATTTTTCTCCTTTTTAAGTTGAACTCATAGCCTTTCGTAGACTAAACTTGTACCATTAACTAATTTTTTTCTCTTTTTTGATGTTCAAATTGTTCCTGATCAAGGGATCAAGCTGATAAAGGTCATTTCTCTGTTCTTTGAGCATTACTCCAGATATTCTTGAAAGCATTCTTGCTCTCTGGCAACAACCCCATGAACCATTTATTTCCTGACCTTAAACATAGATTCAACCATCTTTTGAGGACTTCAGGTTCCTTTGAGTGGAGTAGTCATTCACTTATTCCTTCAACATCCATTGAGTACCTACTGATTTGGTCCCTGGGGATACAGCAGGGAACAAAGCAGACCAAATCTCTGCCAAATCTTATTCTAGTCAGGGGAGATAGACAATAAACAAGTAAATGATATAGTGTGTCACGGGTTGACTGTCACGGAGAACAGCATGGAATGGAAATAAGAAACATTGCCTAGGATGGAGCAGTTGTGATTTTAAGTAGAATGCTCGATTGGATGTAGTGTGTGAGAAAAAGAGAGGAGTCCAGGTTTTTGGCTGAAAGACTAGAAGGATGGAGTTGACATTATCTGAAATGGAGAAGATAGGGAAAAAGCAGATTTGGAGGAGATCAAGACTTCTGTCTAGGACCTGTTAGGTGTTAATGCTTGTTAAACATTGAAATGTAGTTTTTGAAGATGTAGTTAAAACTTCCCAGGCTGGAGTTCAGGAGAGAGGTCTGGACTGAAAATATAAATTTGGCAGATACTGATATATAAATGGTTCATACTATTTTTTCCAATTTAACATCCTATGTTGTTGCCTCCTACTTGTTTTAGTTACCCTAAAACTGTCTCCTGCATTGACAGATAGCACAGTAAAGTCCACATTCCTTATCATGATGTTAAGATCCTGCATGATCTAGCCCCTTCCTACCTCTTGGATCTTATCTTGTACCATTTTTTTCCCCACCATTTACTTAATTTCTAACACTCTAGCCTCCTGACTATTCTTCACAAAGCTCTTTCCTGCCTCTTGGCCTTTTTGTGGAAAAGGCCCTCCTACTGTTTAACTCTTACTTATTCTTCATCCTTCAGAAAGGCCTTCCTTGACCTTTTGTGTCAATGAGAAATCTTTTGGGTGGTTCTGTTCCCAACTGGCTTATAGAAGGAATCGACTGGTTTATGTAACTGAACAGTCCAAGGTCAGAGTGGTTTCAGGCAACTCCTAGCTTCCCAGTTGCTTAGGACTTGACATCTTTTCTGAGTCCTCTCTCTTACACTCAGCATCCTTTGGTAAATCCTTTTGACTCTACCTTCAAAATATATCCCAAATCCAGTCATTTTTTCATCACCTCAACTGCTGCCACTGTGGTCTGAGTCTCCATCTCTCACCTGGACTATTGCAGTAGCCTCCTCACTGGACTTCCTGCTTCCACACCAGCTCTCCTTATCCCCAGTCAATTCTCCACACAGCAGCCAGATGGATCCTTGTAAACCCTAGTAATTTTACATCCCTGCTCTGATTACAACCTGGCTCCCATCCCACTTAATAAAAGCCAGAGTCCTTACCATGGCCGTGTAGATTTTACACGATCTGCCTCCTCTGCTTACCTCTCTGACCTCACCTCCTACAATCTGCCTTGGCTTATTCTTCTCCAGCCACATTGGCCTCTCTGCTGTGCTTCAGGCATGCCAGGTACACCCCCACCTTGGCGCCTTTGCATTTGCTGCCCTCTTGTGTCTAGAACACTCATCTTCCACACATCCAGACGATTCACTTCTTATAAGTCTTTACTCAAAGGCTTCTTAGTGAAGCCATCTCTAAGCTAATTAGAATTGCAGCTCCCTTTCCTTCACTCCCTATCCTCTTACCGTTTAAGTTTTTCACTGTACTTAGAACCATCTGACACTCTTTTTATTCCATCATTTGTCCCTCTTAATGAGAATTTGAGCTTCATGAGGCCAAGATTTTTGTTTGTTGTGTTTGCTGCTGTGTCCCAAGTACCTAAAACTGTCTGGCATAGAGTAGGGATTCAGTAAATGCCTTTGAATCAGTGCAGTACAGATGGTGGCCAGGCATCTCTGCATAGGAGCAAGTCAGGTAGTAGGATTTCCTACCATCTGCTATGTGGAAGTCATCCAGGATGTAGATAGTTCTTGAAGTGATGAGGAAGCCTCATCCTCATGATCATAAAGCCCACTTCACCCTTTCTTGTTTCTTTTCTCCAGACTCAGCGACAGCCTCACCAAGGACTCCATGAATATCAAGGCCCATATCCACATGTTGCTAGAGGTGAGAGCAGCTCACCCTACTCCCAGCCTATATCTCCAAATGCATTTAGGGTGGCGACCTGAGGAAGAGAGAGAACCAGAGACTGGAAGGTCAGGGCAAGCCTGGGGCGTGGCCTGGACCCAGTCTCTGTTCAATCTCTCCTGTCTTTTTCAGGGGCTTAGAGAACTACAAGGTCTGCAGAATTTCCCGGAGGACCCGCACCATTGACTTCTTTCCCCTTCTCCAGACATTAAAGAGCCTGAATGCCTTTGAGTCACACGGCCCTTCTTTTCCCCCTTAGCCCCTGCTGTTTACTTAGGTTCCCTGTTTCTAAAGCACAAAATTACTAGGAGGCCCAGAGGTCCAGTGTGTGTGGAACCTTCAAAGGGCCCCTGAAATCGCGCTTCCAGCCTATTACCTGGCAGCATTTGCTACTTGACTTACTACTCTACCTGCTCTTCCGTCCCCTTGTCAACCTGGGCCCCCACCTGACCCTTCTGTTTCTTTCCCTGGGCACCACTCTGAATTACCATAGAGAATGGGCTAATTCAGGGTGGAGTTTTGTTCCCAAGGCAATCAACCTTTCTCTCTTGGCCCTAAGGTTTACTCCTCTCCCACACTCCAGTCATTCCTCAGGTACCTTAAATTATACCCACAGCCTTCTCTGCCCAAATTGGCATCGCTCCTGCTTCTAAATAGTTCCAGCTTCTACCAATGGACGCAGAGCTGGATCCTGCCCTCCTTGGTCCGGCCCCTATTCTAGGTTGAGTCCAGCTTCCAATCACTGCATAGCCAAGTTCCACCCCTTTATAATTCTGGCTGCAGCTCGACTCTGCCTTCCTCAGCACTTAGTTTCCGATACTCAGCTCTCTTCCGCGTGTCTGGCAGCTATCCTGTCTTACCTCTGCTGCGTTCTAAATTCGTCTTTTCTAGCCAATCAGTACAGTTACCCTGCCCGCCTACGCAGAGCCCTGGCCCTAACCCCTCCCACTGCTATACAAGTCCTGCTTCCGGGGAGCCGCTTGGAGTGCAGCACCAGCCTGTTCACGTTTTGGCAGCTACCTAGGAGTCCTCTTCCGCCAATCAATAGCAGAGCCCACCCACTCCCTATCCTCGGAGGTTGTCTTCCATCAATACCATATAGGCCAATCAGTGCGAGGCAGGCGCCCCCCGAAACTCGTTAATTGCCCGCGGTCTATCAGAGTTGACCCAATCAGCGTGTAATATCAGTGGGGCCGATCACGCCCCCTTGGAACCCTGGCGGTCATCGGCGTTCCATCAGTTCCCCTTGGGCCAATCATGTCATAGCTCTGTGGGGCAGGGCCCGCCTCCCCAACCCTGGAAGTCGTGCGGTCAATCCGTGGTGCCTGGCCAATCAGCGAGCAGCGGAATGCTTGACTCCTCCTCCACAGGACCACGTGAGCGGTGGGGAAACGCAGGGGCGGCTTC